TAAATATATTTATTTAAAAATTATATATTTAATATACATATTTTAGCATTACATTAATTAAATATAATAAATAATATTTTATCATAAAAAAACTAATTTATTTATATGTTATTTAAATATTTTATTAGTAACATCAATTAAACAATATATTAATTTAACATATATTTATATAATTAATACTATATAATGAAAATATTATTTTATTTAATTTTTTATAAAAAAGAATATTACATTCACTATATTGATTAAATAATATCTTAACACATGTATTTGTTTTTATTATAATTATATATATATATATATATAGTTTTTGTTTTGATATGTAACTTTAAAAATATTTTTGTAAAGATAATAATGAAAATATTTTTTGAAGATATATATAGTTAATTTTAGTAAAATTTATAATAATTTTTAAAATAATAATTAAATATGTAAATTAAGAAATATATTGTTACTGTTAAACTTTTATGGGAAAAAATGTTTATAAAAAGAAAAATGTTTATAAGAAGAGAGGATTGTGTAATATTTACATCTCCGATGAGATATTAGTATAAAGAATGTTTTGGACATAATTCTTTTGTAACAGAAGTTAATAGAACTTTAATGAAAATTTAAAAAATGGGTAAAGTGTAATACATCAGAATCTGTCTAGAGATGGGTTTGTAATTTTTAACATAAGATGAGAGGGTAATGTAACATTTGTATCTCTTTAAAGAGAAAAAATATAATTTACTAAAAAATTTAATACATTTTAAATTTGTATAAAATAATTTTAAACGACTAATATAAATAATAAAAGGTAATATGACTTTTAAGATAATTATTATAAAAATTACTTATCAAACTTAGCCATTAAATGATTCAAGTCCAAACACCAATTGTTATTTAAGTGTCTTTTATGACCCTTCAATTGTACTAATGCAGATTACGTTGCTTAATAAATGTCAAAATTGAAAATGTATCAACACAACAAAGAAGAAACATATTCCTCAACAAGTATGAGAATATGGGAACTTAGCAGTCACATCATGCCATACAAAAAATACATTAATTGCAATAGAATTGCGTAGTGATCAACCATCCATACCATATTACCATGCCTTGATCAACGCTCACTTAGCAATGAACATTGAATATATGGTAATCAGAACATGACCATAAAAATATCATGTTGCAACTATTAGCATGCACTAGCCTCTTCAACTTTGTCTATGCTTGGCAATAGCTATAAAAATGTGAGATATAATGCAATGAACCTAACACATTGGCAATGGCCAACACTGCAGTTATTATCCTGTTTTCAATAGTCTTGCTTTGCATAACAGCAACTCAAGGGAGGAAAACACTTCACCAAAACAATGAATGGCTAACATCCTATCCAGTTGTTGATGATATTGATGGTATATGCAAAACCATGGTAGAGACACAAGGTTACACATGTGAAGAACATAAGGTATATGTTACTATACATGGTTGTGGCATGCACCTGTCATTGATTATGAAGGCATGATAGGGAGTTTCTTTTCTTGTTGGAGCCAGGTTACAACTGAGGATGGCTACATCTTGAGCCTGCAGAGGATGCCGGTAGGGCGGTCCGGCAAGAAAGCCGACAAGCCGCCGGTGCTGTTACAACATGGTATCTTTGCTGTAAGTTGTGTTGATGCATCATGCATGGACAGATACATAAGAGAAGAAAACATGTTTGTTTACTAAGATTTTAAGTAGTTCAGTAGATGCTTTTCGGGTTATTTTCATCAGAATTAATATAAATTTTTCATACAAACCTTAATAATGAGGATTAGTAAGGTAAAACTTCAATTCTGATTAGAGTTTAACCACTAAAAATACTTATGGAACTGCTTAAAAACATTGTAGAGACTAAACATTAATTCAATTAGAAGTAATTGCGAAGGTGTTTCTAGTGTTATTCTCTGATCATATATAATTGAAGTTTTACTTTGGTGATCCATATTAACCTTTAACTCAAATCTTAATTATGTGGATTAATAAGATAAAACTACAATTCTAATAGGAAAATAACACCAAAAATACTATGGAACTACATGTAAGTTTTGTCGAAGTAAAATTTTAATTCTGATTAGAAAATAGAATAAAAATGTAGAGGCAACAATGTGAGTGTTGAACTAAGATAACTTGTGTTGTGTGATTTCAGGATGCTATAACATGGCTGTTCAATCTTCCAGATGAATCACTGGGATTTATCTTAGCAGACAATGGATATGATGTGTGGCTTGCCAATACTCGTGGGACCAAATATAGCAGCGGGCACACATCACTTGATCCTAATGACATGGTTCTTTCCCTTATGAGATACATGCATTTTAGTTTTCAGACTTTGATATAGCAGCCCTTATGGATAGCTGATTTATTCATTCATGTGTAGGCTTATTGGGATTGGTCATGGGATGAATTGGCTAGTTATGATCTTCCTGCTTTTGTCCAATATGTGTACAACCAAACTGGTCAGAAAGTGCACTATGTAGGTTATTCCTTGGTGAGTTCTTAATTTCATTTTGTTAGTGTTTCTAGATTTTCACATGTCATATTAAATACATTTTTAGTTCCTATAATACTTTTTATTAAATTACATTTTTGTCCCTTTATAATATTAAATTCATAATTTTGATCTTTCTATTTTTAAATTTGTAATTTTAGTCTCTCAATTTTATAAAATCTGCAATTTTGGTCTCTTTATTAAATCTGTATTCATTGATCATTAAATTATAAAGTTGACCATAATTTTACATTAAGTAGATGACATAATAGTTAATATTTAATATGCTTAAATATGTTTATAATTTCTTAAATTAAGAGTAAATTTATTTTTGGTCCCTCAAATTTAAATTTTTATTTTTAGTCCTCATAATTTTCAAAAATTTTGTTTTGGTCCCTCAAGTCACGTTAATAATATATTTGAAAGTGATAGATTGAAATAATTATGCAATATTAATTGGATTTACTGTGATATTTTTACTAACAAGATACTAGTAGCTAGATTTTATGAGATAATATTTAACAATTTTTCTAACAAAATTTGAATATATGGACTAAAACAAGATTTTCTGAAATTACAAGAACTAAAGAGCAGTTTTTAAATTTGAAGAACTAAAAATATATTTAAACTTATTTAATAATATTCAGGTTAAATTTTACTTTTAATTCATAAAAATAGTAAAATGAGAACTAAAGTACAATTTAACTTAATTATTGTTAAATGTTAATTATTGTTTCATATAATATTAGGTCATAGTGACATTACAATTTTAAAGATCAACGGATGAACATTTAATGAAAGAATTAAAATTGCAAATTTTATAAAATTAAGGGATTAAAATTGTGGATTAAGAATTAAAATTGCAAATTTTATAAAATTAAGGGATTAAAATTGTGGATTTAAAAATAAAGTGGTCAAAATTGTGGATTTGATATTACAGAGAGACCAAAAGTACAACTTAACCTATTTTTTTCATCTTAATTTTGGTTCTTGCACTTTAAAAGGTTGGTTTTTGAAGTTTCAAAAAAAATAGGAATTGGTTCTTGGTATAAAGACCAAAACCAACGTGTACATAGGATGGCTAACACCAAATCCTAGTGATTTTGATACAGTAACTCAAAAATTAAACTTTTGAAGTATGAGGATTAAAACAATAATTGAGATTAGAGACTAAAAATGTGGTTAAATTAAACTTTTACATTTCTATCTAGTGTTTGTATATTTAACAATAATGAAATTTCAGGGAGCTTTAATGGCTTTAGCTGCTTTCTCTCAAGGACAAGTGCTGAACATGTTGAGATCAGCTGCATTACTTGGCCCAACTGCTCATATGAATCAGATTACATCGCTACCAATTAAAATTGCTGCTGAATCATTTATAGCTGATGTGAGAAATAGAAGATCATTTAGTTGAGCATTAAAATATCTATTGAATACAATTTGACTTGTTGAAAATACTTTCCTTTTTCTTAATATATCAGGCTGTGTACTGGTTAGGACTCCGCGAATTTATTCCAAACGGGTAACAGTAAAACCTAAACCTTGGAAATCTACAATCTCTTCATGCAAAGTGTTTGAGTGCACAAGAGTTAACTTCATATATAAAAGAAACCTAAAAGAAATTCAATAGTAGCAATGTTTCCAAATGAGCAGGCAAGTTGAAGCAAAATTTGTGGAAGACATCTGCAATACTCTACACATGAACTGCTTAAAGCTAATAACACCTTTCACAGGTGCTATAAATATTACTAGCATGTCCATGAATCAAAATTTTCATTTTATGCATGTATCATTCTGGTTCCTGCAGATATTGACATTATTTTGGTATTGCTTATCCTGAAATTTTAGGTCCAAATTGCTGCATAAATTCGTCCAGAATAGATGTCTTTCTTGATCATGAACCACAGCCAACAGCAACCAAGAATTTGATCCATCTATCTCAAAGTAAGTCTACTAGTAAGCAACATTTTTTCTGTGTGTGGCCAAGTATCATTTATTTTGAAGCATTTCTTTGATGCATAACCATTAAAATAAAGGTAATTTTTTTATTACTAGACAAGGTAAAAGCTTCTCCCCTGACAATGCATAATAATTTAACTATTTTGATTGAGAAAGTAGCCTATATACTAACAGTATAAAACAATTTTACATAATTATTCAATCACAAACTATCAATATGGTATGTATGTTTACTTTTACATTAAGTACTTTAAAAAACAAACTAACGATAATTTTTGATTAGTTGATAGTGTAGAAGTTTTTACACTGATGATACATAGTTTGTAGATGCAGTCATTAAACTCTTTCTGATTGGGAGTACTAGTTCGTACATAATTTCTTGTTGATGTTTCTTCCTATGGATTTGGTTAGTGATCAGAACAGGAAATATAGCAAAGTATGATTATGATGTTCAAGAACAAAATATGCAGAACTATGGACAACCAGTTCCTCCTCCTTATGACATGACCGAAATACCAAATGAATTTCCGCTTTTTCTAAGCAATGGAGGGCAAGACATGCTATCTGATGTAAAGGATTTGCAGGTTTTGCTCAATGACCTCAAAGATCATGATGGGAACAAGCTCGTGGTATTGTTTAAGGAGGATTATGCTCACCTTGATTATGCTATGGGTGTTAATGCTAATCAAATGATTTATGATCCTATGATGGCATTCTTTAAGGATAATTGACTTTAAACTATTGTTAATTGTTCTTCGAATAAGGTAAATGATTTTTCATCAAGTTAGATCAATAGAATGTTACATTTTTCGCCCCTTTTATGTTCTCGGTCATAATTTAACACCTTAATACGGTGTATTCTAATCCTCGGTCAGATTGGACATTCATCTAAGCCAACTGTCTTTTGAAGTCAAGATGATGCTTATTAGTTACTAGTCATTTTTCTTTAATAATGCAATTCTCATGATTAACACCCTGTTTAGAAGTACTTATAAGAAGAAAAAAGAAGATAGAAAACATAATTAAACTTAAATTATAAGTTAAAATTTACATATGCATTTCAACTTTTAGAGAGGTCAGATAAAAAGTTCAAATACATAAATTAATTTTAACTTAACTTACGCGAGAAACTTATTCATTTTTACCTTTTTATTTTCTTCTCTTATATATTCCTCTTGGTTAAGTGAAACAAAAGACAAATTTTTTAAGATATGGACAGTGTTCTGATACTGGTATACATGAAGACTACAGAAAATAAATAATGACTTTTGAGGAGTTTGATTCATTCCTCCATTAAGGATAATGAATATTTGAGCCTTTCACATCCCATTCCAAGAAAATGGAAAGTACCCTGACTTGTGGAATGTATATACGCATGAATAAGCAAACATTACTTGTTTTCTTATAATCGCGTTAGTGCATTATGATTCTTATATAGAGTAAGGCAAGGTACTCAAAACTTGTTAGACAGCAGGAACAACAAGATACAAATAGGAAGTTAAAAGTGTATATAGGAAGAAGGGTACAAATAGGAATTAAACTTATTTTATCCTTTGACCTATTAGTTAGGTTTTCGGTAACAATTAGTTAGTTTAGGTCCTCTTTAAATAGCCCTTGTTTAGGCTGGGGGAGGGGATTATTCTTTTTGGTTAGTTTCCCAACTGGACAAATTCCAGCGTGAAAGGAGTAGTCTCCTTTGTGTACTCATTTTCTTTCAAATTCAATAAACTTCAGGGACGAATAATGCCCTTTCCCCTTCTGTCCTCCCCGAAGACCTAACAATTGGTCTGACCTACCGCTTCCCCCTTTCATGATGGACTCACGTATGCAGACAACAGAAAATACAATCAAAGATCAGGGAATCCAATTGGCAGAATTGCAGAAAGATGTTGCTTACATCAAAGAAAACATGCTTGATTTAAGCCAAATCCGTGGCCTCATTATGGAATGTCTCACCAAGAAACCAAACCATGATGACGATGGGCACTCCAGCACCACCAAACCGAGCCTCACCGACAACGATGGAAAAGATGAGGATGCCACAACACATTCTTGGTTAAAGAAAGTTGTTCTACCCACGTTTGAAGGGAGCGACCCCCTAGGATGGCTCGCTCGAGCAGAGAAGTTCTTCGAAGTGCACCAGGTTAAGTCATCAGAGAGGCTACGTGTCGCCTTCATCAGTATGGAAGGCAAGGCTTGCCAATGGTTTCAATATTGGCGTAATCAAGCCAAACATCCATCTTGGGAAGATTTCACGTGAGCTTTGCTGAAGAGATATGGCGAGAATGGTTGTGGTACTGTATACGAACGACTGGAAACCCTTAGACAGACCGGCAACGTGGAAGATTATGTCCAAGAATTCGAGCTATTGATTGCCCAGGCCAAACCCGGTTCAGAGGAACAAGTCTTGGGATACTTCTTGCGTCGCCTTCATCAGTATGGAATATTGAAACCATTGGCAAGGCTTGCCAATGGTTTCAATATTGGCGTAATCAAGCCAAGCATCCATCTTGGGAAGATTTCACGCGAGCTTTGCTGAAGAGATATGGCGAGAATGGTTGTGGTACTGTATACGAATGGCTGGCAACCCTTAGACAGACCAGCAAAGTGGAAGATTATGTCCAAGAATTCGAGCTATTGATTGCCCAGGCCAAACCCAGTTCAGAGGAAAAAGTCTTGGGATACTTCTTGCGTCGCCTTCATCAGTATGGAATATTGAAACCATTGGCAAGGCTTGCCAATGGTTTCAATATTGGCGTAATCGAGCCAAGCATCCATCTTGGGAAGATTTCACGCGAGCTTTGCTGAAGAGATATGGCGAGAATGGTTGTGGTACTGTATACGAATGGCTGGCAACCCTTAGACAGACTGACAACGTGGAAGATTATGTCCAAGAATTCGAGCTATTGATTGCCCAAGCCAAACCCAGTTCAGAGGAACAAGTCTTGGGATACTTCTTGGCGGGATTACATTCTGACATCAGAGGCCAAGTCCGTCCCCATGACCCAAAAGAGTTAAATTGTGTTATGGAGATCGTGCACGACATCGAAGAAGCCATGAAGGAGGTTCACAATTATGGAAATTTACAGGGAAGAAACTCCACACCAGGGTTTAGATTTCAAGGGAACAACGGGATCGCCTCTCGGATAGAAACCTCCAACAACATCACAGGGACCAGCAACAACAACCGGGGATCCCAAGGAGGCAACCGTCCCAATAATACCTCTGTAGGAACTAATTCAGGAGGTCCCAATCGAAATCGTGGCACGAGAAGCCTACCTTATCAAGAATACATCAAGCGACGAGAAGAGAATAGATGCTTCCACTACGGGCTAGCGTTCGCTCCGGGACACCGCTGTCCAGAGAAGAATTTACGAGTCATTATATTGGCTGACGATGACTATGGTAAATCAGAAAATCCAAGTGCAGAAAAGATAATCTCGTTAACTCATATTGCAATTGGTTAGACTTATCCATATGTTCAGCAGGTACCCCACAGACGATGAAACTCAAAGGCCAACTACTGGATCAAAATATTTTGGTGTTAATTGACAGTGGCTCCAGCCACAACTTCATATCGCACAAGTTGGTGGAACAGTTAGGCCTTAAAGTGGATCAAGCAACACCATCTTTTGTAAGGCTAGGGGATGGTAACCGCAAGCAAACTCTGGGCAGTTGTAACAATGTGCAAATCAAATTGGGTGAATACACCATGACAGGAGAATTTTTTCTCTTTGAACTCGGAGGCGTTGACATTATTTTGGGGGTGGCTTGGTTGATGACTCTAGGAGAGGTTAAAGTAAATTGGGGAAGCCTTCAAATGAATTTTATGCACCAAGGGAACAATATAACAATCCAGGGGGACCGAAGTCTGTCCAAAGAAATGATCACCACCAAAGCCTTGAGAAAACTGAACCAACGTTTTGTGGAATCTGTTAGATATAATTTTATCTTATGGTTATTTTATCTTATGGGCCTAGGCCCACTACTTTGTATTTAAACACATCTTTTGCTTTGCAATACACAAGGAATATGTTCTCTTCATTCACCATCACTCTCAACATGGTATCTAGAGCCTAATCCTTGACCTCCCGGTGGACCCACTGTTCATCGGTGCCCGGAAAACGTGTCTCATTCCGTTTTCCGGCTACCCACCCTGTCGTGTCTCATTCCGACAATTTTTTCTATTTTTTAGGGTTTTCTTCGTCACTGCCGCCGCCGTCCACCGCCGCCGTCGTCGACTTTCCGGCCGGCGACCCACCCACCCAGGTCGCCCTGCTCCGGCGACTCACCCGCCACCGGTCGCGCGGCGAACGGAGATCGCACGCGCCCTCACGCGCCGATCTCCTCCTCGCGCGTTTTTCTCTCTCCTCCACGCCGGCCGCCGCGCGTGGCGGCGCGTCCGGCCACCTTTTCGGCAGCGACCCCCGGCGCCGGACTCGCCCAGACCCCCTCTACCCCGATCTGTGATTTGTTTTGTGATCGGTCATCGTTTGTCACGGGTCTCTTCCTTCTCGGGCCGTTTCTTTCTCTCTCCTGTTGCTGTTTCTCTCTCCTATTACAGCATCTATGGCTTCCTCTTCCGCTGCTCGGCCTGACTCTGCTATTTTCACTAATTATGTCAATGTCCCTCTTTCCATTGACAAGTTAGATGGCACCAATTATGATACTTGGGCTTCGGATATCAAGCTCTGGCTTAAGGGACAGGATTATGTTGCTCACCTTACCCAGACAGCTGCTTCTATTGATGAGAAGGATCGTCCTCGTTGGTTGAAAATTGACGCTCAAATTTGTAGTGTCCTTAAGTCGACCATTCATCCCTCCTTAAAGCAAATTTTTCGTGCCCATGAGACATGTGTTGATTTATGGGAACAAGCCCGAGTGTTATACACCAATGATACTCAACGTCTCTATGGTGTGTGTCAACATCTCCAGAATATCATCTCTCCCCGACGCCTTGATGGTTCCATGGCTGAGTATTTGGGCAAAGTTCATGGCCTCCTACATGACTTCAATGAACTTTTGCCTCCTGCTGACACTCCTGCCAAGGAACTAGAGCAACGCCAAACATTCTTTATGTTGATGGCACTGTATGGGCTTCCTGATGAGTACTCTTCCATTCGTGATCAGATTTTGGGATCTCCGACCGTGCCTACCTTGAACTCGGCTTGGTCCACTCTGTTGCGTGTGCCCTGCAAGTCTTCCCCTGACATCTCTTCTTCCGCTACCACTGGCGACTCCTCTGCTTTGGTGTCTCAACGTGATGATCGTCAGCGTTCTCGCAAACCGGGCAAAGGTCGTCCTAAGTGTGATCACTGTCACAAACTGGGTCACACAATTGACCGTTGCTATGTCTTACATGGTCGTCCCCCTCGCCCTGCTAGTGCCGTTGCCCACACTGCGTCTCCTGTCTCGACTGCATCTGGTGCTACCCCCTCTGACAGTTCTGGCTCTGGGCCCCCAGCTCTCTTCAATGACTTCCTTACATGGTATGAAGAACGTCAAGCTTCCAATTCCACTGCTTCTGTTGCGCACACAGGTCCTTCGTTTGTTGGTCTCACTCACTCCACCTCTCTTGGCCCTTGGGTCCTAGATTCTGGTGCTACCGATCATATTTCTGGTAATCGGTCTCTTTTCTCATCTCTTTCTACCTCTGCTTATTTACCCTCTATCACTATGGCTAATGGTTCTCGCGCCACATCTCATGGTGTTGGTACTGTCCATCTTTCTC